CACGACGGTCGGTTGCTATGCAGTTTCTCCCGGAGTCAATTTGCGATTGTTGTTGGTTTCCGGTCTCCTAGCTGTGATTTAAGGCGCGGTTAAAATACCGCGTCTTTAGCGCTCTCGTTTGCGTTTACTTTCAAACATTTTTAAAACAATACTTGCCCAATTAGTACTTACTTGAACCGTTTAAAGATATCGCAGCGAAAACTAGTCACAGGACAAATGCAAAGCGGTAAATTATGGTGTTATTATGGGAATGTATTTTCGCATTCCAGTCGAAGGATATCCCGCCCACAAGGACAAATTCTACCATCTAGGGGTCCCACAGTACCACACGTGTGTGCCCTACAATCCCTCTTTGAAAACCCCCCTGGATTTATAGCATTGCCAGAATTATAAGCGAAAATAGCTGAAAATTCCGCATTTTTCGTTTTATTTTTCAAATATTTTTGCTAAAACGTAAATCTGGAGACACTTCCCAAATCAAAGTTGAAGAATATCATTTATTGAAGAACTTCTAATGGTTAGCAGTAACGAAGAAAGGTGAAGAGAAAATATCCTTCGGCAAACTCATTTGCATTATTAGCGTATTCGTGACTCGCCATATTGTTGCTTCACCACCCGCTGTCTTGTCTTTATAACTCGATAGATTATTGCTGTAAAAGTCAAACGTGTGATGGAAATAAAGGAAATCCAGCAAAATCCAACAAACAGAGACCACTAGCGGATTATTTTTGGAAAAAATCTCCATTCTTTAAGCTCAGAGAAGGCCAAGGAGATCTGTCACGCAAGTCACGCGAGCTTCATACTGTACTAAGAATAAACTGAGGTTAATTGAGCTTGGCATTGGAACCCAGCTTAATTAATTAAGTTACTAAATAGTATAAGCTGTAGAACGGCTGCATATTATAAGTTGGTTGTCAGTTTAATATAATATGTGATATCGAAATATTAAAATTACAACATAGGCCACAAGTTGTAGGTTTTTGTTTGAAAGGCAGTCTGATTATATAAACCTATTAACTAATAGTAGCCAACACTTACCGGCCCATTTCAGGGGTAGAATTATCTGGTGTTTATAGCCTAGATATCGTAAAAACGAAAGCAGGGTGTATACACGATACATCAAGGGCCATAAAATGAGACTGATAGCTGAAACTACTGATTTATCTGCATGTATTCTTGTATTTTCATATTTGTTTACTTCGCCTCATACTGCGTGTCTTGAGTTAGCTGGTTTCTTTACTTCGATAAAAGCTTATCGTGTGGCTTACACAAGTTTTATTTACATTAATATAACTACAGAATACTTAGTTATAATTTACAAAAGAAATCAGTTACACATGCATTTATTTAAGCTACGGTCGGGGAGCCGTCTTCTCGTTAAAGTTCGATATAAAGACAACATGCCTTGGTAATCTGAGTCGTGAGAGTAGCAGACGTACTATATGATACTCACGCGAAAACCATCATGAAAAGCGCTTGGAATTGTAACTAAATGATAAAATTAAGTGTGCGCAAAGACATGAAATCTGTTTCTGGAAAAGCTGCGTATCTTAAGGAATTTAAATCACTGGTATATACTGTAATACTAATATTTTATGTCGCTACGGATCAGTTGCGCAGCCGATTATAAACTGTAGTAATTTGGCAGGCATATATGAGTGCACTGTAGCTAAATCTACTATATATATTGTCATCTATACAATGGAAGTATGTGTTTATATATCTCAAAATACAGCATACACAAATATAAAATGAAAGCGTTTTATAATAGAACATATTCATCAAACAAATTCTTGCGTGAACAGAACTATAGTATAGCTAGATTTCTTGTCGCCAACCAAAACAGTCAGACTGAGTCAATATGTTTCTCAGTCGGTATATTATTTAAATAGATATATACACTGTATTAGTACTAAGTAGCATCAGATAATTTTCACCAAATTACCTACACATACTGCTGAAGAAACACGAATTTAGGCGAAAAGAGGAACAGTTTGTACACTGGTTTGCATTCCGTAATATGAAAGATTTGAACTATTATACAGGAGGCGAATTTGATATATCGTCTAGAGCTATTCGACGGCAGTCCCTAAGTAATAGATCCGATTGTTATTTGACCGCTAAATAAAATTATCACAATAGTTCCTTTTAAATATTGAAGTACATAAACCAGTTAAAATAAACCCAAAAAATTGTTCTAACAGTAAGAAATTTCAAGCCGGCCAAATACATGACCTTTCCGATCATAAAATAACACGACGCCATTTCGCCTTCACACCAACACCGCTGGAAAAAACGAAGCCCGCGCTTCCGGGAGCAAAACGCATAGCAACCGACCATCGTGAAACAAACAAACAAACAAACAAACAAATAAACAAACAAACAAACAAACAAACAAACAAACAAACAAACAAACAAACAAACAAACAAACAAACAAACAAACAAACAAACAAACAAACAAACAAACAAACAAACAAACAAACAAACAAACAAACAAACAAACAAACAAACAAACAAAACAAACAAACAAACAAACAAACAAACAAACAAACAAACAAACAAACCAAACAAACAAACAAACAAACCAACAAACAAAACAAACAAAACAAACAAACAAACAAACAAACAAACAAACAAACAAACAAACAAACAAACAAACAAACAAACAAACAAACAAACAAAACCAAACAAACAAACAAACAAACAAACAAACAAACAAACAAACCAAACAAACAAACAAACAAACAAACAAACCAAACAAACAAACAAACAAACAAACAAACAAACAAACAAACAAACAAACAAACAAAACAAACAAACAAACAAACCAAACAAACAAACAAACCAACAAACAAACAAACAAACAAACAAACAAACAAACAAACCAAACAAACAAACAAACAAACCAAACAAACAAACCAAACAAACAAACAAACAAACAAACAAACAAACAAACAAACAAACAAACAAACAAACAAACAAACAAACAAAACAACAAACAAACAAACAAACAAACAAACAAACAAACAAACAAACAAACAAACAAACAAACAAACAAACAAACAAACAAACAAACAAACAAACAAACAAACAAACAAACAAACAAACAAACAAACAAACAAACGAAGTTTCAATCGCCGATCTACGGACTGAAACTCTTAATTTTGTGATTTTTTGTTCAAGTGCTTAATTTAATTTTCTATTTTACTCATTTGAATCTAGTTTTTATGATTCTTAGTGAATTGTTCATGAAGCGTATTAATTTTATCCTAGCTCGCATGGGCATTTATCCCAGTAAAAGTGTTGTTTATACAGTGGTGTAGAACTGAAATGATAACAAGGGGAGCTCTAAAAAGTAGGGGGAGTGTGACAAGACCGCAAGGGTGCAAGGCGTGGCGGGTGCAACATGACAAACATGGAAAGTTTTTATATTTGGTTCTAGTAATTCTTCAGTTGAAGAAAAGATTCCAATATACTGAAGATATTCCATGTTGGTGCCACATGCATGACTTAATAGTAATCAGGTACAGATCACTAACATCATTACCGCATCAACACTAAGTTTCCAAGTTATGAATATGCAATCTGTAAAAATATATTGGGAGGTCAGCCCCTTAAACCGGCATTAATATTATTAAAGGGGGGCTTCTCACAAGGGAGGGTGAGCCCCCCTGAGCCCGATCTATAGCGATTGGTTTAAAAATGATGCGGTTGTATACAACTCATGCTGATGCGAGCAAATCTCAAAAACGGATTACAGCTCTAAAATAGTGCGATTGGGCTGCAATCGCACTATTTTTAGCCAATCAGATTGCTCGAATCGCATCTCAGTTTCAAAATGAATATGATAAATTGTGAAATAGCGCCATTGCAAATACCTTAGTAGACCTCAACAAATTCCATATTTCAAACGAAATATTTGACATATGGAACATGTTCAATTTGATCAGTTTGGCTTGCCAAGACATTGCATGTGTTTATGGAACAATTTAATATATCAAATATCTATAATTAACTTATACCCAATCAGTCGATCCGCTCGATCGGCATTACCTTATAGAAGAAAAATAGCCATAAAATCCAGTTGAAGCAGCTTCAAATGAACGTGACAAAATATCGATTCGACTACATGATCAATATATATTTGCACATGAGTGTAACTTTATAATGCGTGAACAACACGAAACACGTGTGGTTTATATAGTTGGCTTTTTTGGTAATTTTCACTTTGAGTTTTTGCCGTTACTTTACACTGATATTTTTTACTTTATATTTGAGATGAAAATAAAAAAATATATGTTCAAAATACGAAAAATAGAGAACACAATAACGCACTGAATTGATTCAACATTTCTTACAGTCAAAATACAAGAACCTTTCCGCTTCTGACTGTAACTTGTTTTGTATTTCTGTAATTTGTTCTATTTTCCTGTAGCGATTACCGCTTTATCGGCAAATATCGCTGTAGGGTCCGGTAGAATTTCGCTTTTCTTCCTTTTTATACGTCAATTTGTAGCAATGGATACACCTTTCGTTAGATTCTTTGCATAAAAGTTGCGAAACTTAGATTTTATATAGCGATATTTGCTGATAACTCGGATCGCGGGTTTTAAACTGCCGCTCAATGACTGTGTTCATACTATACAAATTTAAAATTACCGACTACAATCATTTCACTCATTTGACGTAGCTACTAAAATCAAAATTTCGCAACTTTTATGCAAAGAATCTAACGAAAGGTGTATCCTTTGCTACAAATTGACGTATATAAAGAAAGGGATCAGCCAGGGGTGGTCGTGGTATCCTATAAAATACTTGATACTGAAATATGGATCAAATATACCTAATAGTAATACCCAAAATTAAATTAGTCATAAAACTCATTTAAGTAAATATTTATAGTTCTTTATAACTTTATTGGGAATACTAACAATAACGATAAATAGGTGTTTCCCAAAAGGAAAGGTGCAAACGGGTCAGAAAAAGCCCATGCGAGGCACCTCCCTTACAAACTTTACACAAAAAATTACATTACACTATAAATTATAGTTGAGGTAAAGCTCGATTTGCGCATACCCACAGGATCTCGAAATACGTAAAATGCATGAAGATTTTGGAAAATTTGTACGGAAAATAAAACTAACTTGGTTTTGAAAACATGTGACTTAGGCATGTACACGAAACGAACTTTACTTCAATCAAAGAACTATACATTATTTTAGTTTCTGTGACATGGACAGTCTCGAACAAGAGACCAGGTACATGGCATGTCTACGTCAAAAACTGAATTACGTAAAAACGAATAAGTCCGACGAAGAAAGTTCTTAAAAGTAAATAATGTCACGAAGCTATTAGGTGATGCAGTTCTACACACTACTTTCCATAAATGAACTGTTCGATTAAAGTAAGAGTTTTTAAACGTAGTTGTTCTACATAACGGCACTTGAAGTAATAGACTAGGATTTAAGGTTAGTCGAGAACGATCATGACTAACAAAACTAACATAATTGCCTATGTCTAAGTCTACGTAACCGTATAGTGCCTTATAGAAGAAGACCAAGTCTTGGATTTCTCTGTCATAACACAGCGGCAGCATGTCCAAAGTCTGAAGTCCCTCCTGGTATGATATCTCACCTATTCTTGATCTTAGGATCCATCTTGTCGCGCGTCGTTGTATTCTTTCGATCTTGACTTTGAGGGAGACATTGGATGGAGACCAAATTTCAGTACCATAGCATAACTTCGACTTTACAAGCGATAGGTATAATGAACGCCGGATTTTGGTTTCCGTCAATAAAGGACAAGTTCTCTTTAGGAGACCAAGCATGTTGTTAGCTTTAGCTGTTATCATTTGAATATGCGAGTTCCACAAGAGATTGTCTGTCACGATGATGCCGAGATCTTTTTCTTTCCGGACACGAAGCAACGAAGATGAACCCAGATGATAGTTGTAAGTCACGGGATATTTCTTTCGAGTCACGCTCAAAACCTTACATTTTAATGCGTTGAACTTGATGTTATTATCATGGCTCCACGTGTCAAGGTTGGATAAAGATTCTTGTAGACAATCACAGTCAGTTGTAGAGTTGATGTTTCTAAACAATTTTGTATCATCAGCATACATAGCTTCCGAAGAGCCATTGGATATTACTTCCGGAAGATCGTTTATGAAGACAGCAAAAAGTATCGGACCCAGGATACTTCCTTGTGGCACGCCAGAGATAACAGGAACCCAGCTTGATGGGACACCTTCGACAACAACTCTTTGGGTACGTCCGCTTAAATAATCACGAAACCAGTCGAGAAGACGCCCTGTAACGCCATATGACTTGAGTTTTCTTAGAAGTATTTGATGATCTACAGAATCAAAAGCTTTGGCAAAATCAAGGTAAATTATATCAGACTGAAGGTTTTTGTCAAGACACTGACCAACAGAGTGAAGAACTTGGACAAGCTGAGTGATGCACGAACGATTTCTAAGAAAACCATGTTGTGATGGTGTGATGAGGTGAATGACGTGATCATAGAATCTCCTGGAAACACAACGTTCCAAAACTTTGCTGATGATAGGCAGGAGGGAAATCGGTCTGTAATTTTCAACGGGTTCTTTAAGGTCTTTCTTGTGAATAGGTGTAACATCAGCTGATTTCCATTCGGAGGGAAGGCGCCCAGTGCGTAGCGAATGATTGAACAGGTCACAAATGCTAGGTGCGATTTGGTGACTACATTCCTTTAGAATTCTTGCTGGAATGCCATCTGGGCCGCTTGCCTTAGAGATGTCCAGATTATACAGACACGCAGCAACTTCTTCCGTTGTTAAGGTTATATCAGATATTTGGGTATCGGGATCAAAAGAGTCTATGTTATTGTCAGTGTCAGTGGTGGATTTTGATGGTACAAACACAGATGAGAAGTATGAATTAAAAAGTTCAGCTTTCTCTGCTGGAGTTTTGGCTGTAATATCTTTGTAAGTAACAACCGCGTTGTGTTGTTCCTTATGGTGTAGAATAGCTTTATGGTAGCTCCAGAAAAACTTCGGGTTTTTGTTGAACGAACTTTCGACTCTTTCTAGATATTCGCGATGTTTTTTTCTGATCAAACTCTTGATGTTTTGACTTATACAACGCAACTTTTGCTTACGGATGACGGATCTATTCTGGCGGAATTTCTTGAGTGCAGCGTATTTCTTACGGACAAGATGACGAACTTCGCTGTCAATCCATTGGGGGGAATTTATGTCTTTAATGGTTTTAATAGGGACGAATTTATTCACAGCCGTCAAGAATAAGTCTTTCCAATTCGACCAGTATTGGACAATATCATCCAAGAAAGCGTTCTCAAACGGTACATTGGACAAGCAGCTACGCAAACCTTCAAAGTTTGCCATTTTGTAGTTGTAAATTTGACGTTTGACATTCCTAGCTCGCTTAAATTTAAGTTTGATCTGAAATTCGACGATATAATGATCGGTTGGAAATTTGCACTGTTCGGGAGTAGATGTTTCGACATTGGTAATAATTTCAGGACAGTTACTTAGAAGAAGGTCAAGTTTATTGCCACAGTTGTGGGTAGGACCAAGAATGAATTGCTGTAGGAAATTATCATCAAACAGATCGCAGAAACTGTTTTCCAGTTGACCTCCGGCCGTAGTAGGGATTTGTTCATCGAATGTAGTCCAGTCAAGTGCGGGAAGATTGAAGTCTCCTACCAAAACAATACAGCTAGATTCGCTTGTATTCTGAAGTGATGAACTAAGGTGATGGAAAACTTCGGGGCCTGAAACAGGAGGACGATAAAACGTATACAGGATTACAGGTTTACTGTTCGTGTTATTAAGTTCCACTACAACTAGTTCGATTTCATTTCTTTCGAGATCTGGCCGTCTAGTCGCATGCAGATTGGCTTTCACGGCAACAAGCACTCCGCCCCCAACCTTTTCAACTCTATCTCGGCGAAAGACACTATATCCAGGCAGCAGCTCGCTGCTTATAATTGAGTCATTGAGCCAAGTTTCGCAAATGCAGATGATGTCATAGGACCCACTATGAACTAGTTCCTGTAACAAAGTGATCTTGCAGACTTTAGCAGAAGAATCATCATTAAATGGCACAAAAGCTTTAAGACTTCGCGCGTTCAGATAAATGGCATTGAGTTCATTACTAGTGTGTTCAGTCGAAGTTCCAGGTCCTGGATTTGTGGCAACGTCTCCAGATAATAATATTAGCAGGAATAAGTGTAGATTATTCTTCTTTATTTTAAACTCCAAGCCATAACGATATTTAGAAGACATTGCACATTTTCTTAATACGACATCACGTGTAGATGTCCAAATGTAGCTCAATCTGTCCGGTATTGATGTTAGTTTCGATGAAATGACGATATTCCCAGGCATTGAAGTGTTGTTGCGGTGAGGTAGTGCAGTTTTAGATCTTTTTAATAACCAAAAACTTACTGCCAGAATCAAAAACCATTTAGCCATTGAATTGAACAAGATTCGATTGGTATTATAATTCATTGTAGTGACAATTTGTTCGTGTATGATTGGATTAATTGATTCTAATTGACTGTCTTGACCGCACGAAAACTCGTTATAGGTGATCAAATTACGTCAGCATACAATCACGGTTTTAACACAAGTTTTGTAACGTATAGTGAAGAGAGTGCTCAATACATAAAATTATGTAGAGCGAATGTAGTTACTATTCTTACTTAAAATGTTTTTTGTCTCTACTCCGAGTTTCACGCATCGCTGCGATCATCAGGAGACATTGTTCTCAATTAAAAAAAAAAAAAAAAAAAAAAAAAAATATATACAGTATACTCGAATTTAATACCCATTGGATCCTGTATACCCAAACCCCCATGGCCGACCCTAAAAGAGGAAAGGGAAATTCTACCGCGATATTTGCCGATAAAGCGGTAATCGTTACAGAAAAATAGAACAAATTAGTGAATTACAGAAATACAAAACAAGTTACAGAAGCGGAAAGGTTCTTGTATTTTGACTGTAAATTTAGTTTTGTTGTGAAAATAGGTGTGAAAACTTTTCAAAACATTCAACTAGAGTTTGATTTTTCGTATTTTAAAAACAACAACACTATAGTTTTATTGGATTCAGCAGATAAAAAACTACATGTGAATTGAGTTGAATGACAGGACTTACGTAAGTTTCGGTCAGAGTTCAGGAGTACCTTGAAGATGCAGTATAAAATATCATTTCAGTCCGCGACACTGACACTGCATAGTTGAAGTGTTGTTGAAAATTGTGAACATTATAAAATACAATACTGAACCGTGAACGTACGTATTAAATACGTCAAAACACACCGAAAAATAGATTAAAACTAAAAGCTAGTTAACAAAATATACGTACTGACCCGGATAGCTAGCTAGTACTGTTTAGGATTATAATAAAAAACTTAGTTATCTTTGACTTTGCAGATAAAAGTCATAAAACTCAAGAACAATCTCGCGCCTCGAGGATTAACAATTTCAACAGAATATGACTTACGCTTATTTTTAGGTTGGCTAGCTGAAACGTTCTTTGAAGATTTTTCTTCTTTTAGGTACTTCCAGATTGCTTTAATCTCCTTTCCGAATTCATTTCTCATCTCATGTAAATCCTTTGTAGCATTGACCAATAGCTCTTTTATTTCGCTGACTTCTTTTCTCACATCGCATTTCTCTCCCTGTGCTACAGATACTTTATTTTCATTCAATAAATGGCCTTGAACACTGAAAAAAGGTGGCGCAATTAATTAGCATAAAACAAGACGAATTATTATTTTTAAATAAGATAAGTGCACGGCGTCCTTTCTGACCACAGCGTCAAACCTCAAAAGACAAAACCATTGATAAATAAATGAGAGTACGTAAATTATTCACTTACTTTGACCAGGATAGGAGAATTGCACATGAAAGGAGCGAACTAAATATTGCAGTATCCATCTTCGAAATGAAGTTTAATTGTGCTTGGCTTTGTTCGTCAACACTCCTTATATAAGTAAACAAAAGCAAGTAATACAATACGATTGACGGATTTCATGGGAATGTATAACACTAGTTTCCTGTCAACTTGGCTAGGGGTTAAGAACCTAAATTGTGGTACTTAATCGTTGACATACACAAACAATGCTAGGGAACCACTGAGTATTTCAATTAATTTAAATACAATACAAATTGAGTTACCCTGAAAACGGTAAACACTTTTCAAATGCTTTAGGGTTTTCGGAGTTATACTTATTGTATTGTCAGTTTAATTCATGTTGTTGTCTTTGTACTGCAGTAACCAAACCTATACAGGTTATATTACTGTAATTATTACGATTAATAGAACCTTTTTATTACAAAGACACTATGTTTTTTACGTATGGATTTATAGTTATGCGAAAACTGTACTCGCTTCGCAAATCCCAATTAACAATCAGGAAGCGGAACAATTTTCTCGAACGTGATGTGATAACGTGCAGGGCGGAGGGCTGATTTCTGCTATTTCAACACTTCAACACATTATCCCACTCACAACAAAGGTCACAGGACTTTATTGTATTGTCAGTTTAATGCATGTTGTTGTCTTTGTACTGCAGTAACCAAATCTATACAAGTTATATTACTGTAATTATTACGATTAATAGAACCTTTTGGCTATTAGTAAAACACGGAGCACGGAGCACGGAGCACACGGAGCACGGAGCACGGAGCACACGGAGTACGGAGCACACGGAGCATGGAGCACACGAAGTACGGAGCAGCAGAAAAACGAAAATCCTTTATAATAAAATACACTGTTTACTATTACAATTTTTTGTTATTATTAACAAAGTTTTTTTCGCGTATTACACGTTGGGGAAGTAGGAAAATGGGGCTTTTACTGAAAAACACATATGATGCAAAACCAGGCTGCCAAAAGCCATAGTATTTAAAATGGGATTGTGAAACTCGTTATCTTACATCTATCAAGCTTATGTAGTTATATTATATTCCGATGGGCAACACATAAAGAAACACTTACTGTAGAGAACAGCCGATATATTTCGTTACCCCTGCCAAAAAAATAGCCAAGTATACTCATCTTTCAATGTAGCGGATCGACTGAACATTAAATCTTGTGATGAGAAAAGTGAATTTTCGGTTTATCCTTCGGCTCAGTGACCGGTGGCAGTGAGCTGTACGGCCGGCTAAGTTTAAACCGTTATACGGTACATCATTACTGCTTTCAATCTTTCAATTCGTTTTGAATATTCGGAATCATTCACAATATTATAGAACTGTATAAGATAGCTGTAGAACTATAAATGCTGTAGAATGAAATATATCGCGGTATTTGCCGATAAATCGGTAATCGCTACAGAAAAACAGAACAAATTACAGTATTAAAATCACAACAAACAGCGGAAGTGGGACAATTTTTGTATTTTTACTGTAAGACATGTAGAACATGTACGAAATCCATACAGAAGTGTGTGTGTATTCTATACTTTTGAAACAACTAAATCAGACTTCGGAAAATTTGACTGTATTAAAGCTGCTTTTGGGAATTTAGATTTTAGGTCTTCGTTTTACATGTACCCAGACCAGTAAATATTTTTGAGTTTTGAATTTTGTGTATAAATCAACACCAACGCCTCAAAGGCGAAAAGGAGGGCAAGATTGTTAGAATTACTATTGTAAACATGAGCAGTTTCGAGCATAAACATAAAATTGAAACGAGTAATTTTTACACATCTGATTGACTAAATTCAGGAAGCCATTTAAGTGTACGCGTATTTGTTACAATTCCGATCAACTCTGCCGTGCAGCACGGCAGAGCCAGAGTAAATTGTAAACAAATTGTAAGTTTGTGAGAATCAGAGTTCAAAACTCAAAAATATTTACTGGGTACATGTAAAACAAAGACCTAAAATCTAAATTCTCAAAAGTAGCTTTAATACTGTCAAATTTTCCGAAGTCTGATTTAGTTGTTTCAAAAGTATAGAATACACACACACTTCTGTATGGATTTCGTACATGTTCTGCATGTGTTACAGTAAAAATACAAAAATTGTCCCACTTCCGCGGTTTGTTGTGATTTACTGTAATTTGTTCTGTTTTTCTGTAGTGGTTA